ACAAGAATTAGAGCAGAACTAAAGGAGAGACTAGAAGCAAATAAAGAAGAAAAAGAAATAGTCTTTTATACTGATAGCTCACTTGGTAAAAATACCAAAAATAAAACAAGGATAGGATTTAGTATAATTCAAATAGATAGTGCAAATAGTATAGTTTTTAGTTATAAAAGAAGGATAGAAAACTGGTTTTCATCTATGTGTGCAGAGCTTGTAGCTTGTTTAGTAGCAGTTTTGTTAGTTCCTGATAGATGCAAAGTAGAAATAAGAACAGATAGCACTTGCGCAATCTTTGCAATTGAGAAGTGTCTTAAGAATGAGAAGACACATGAGTAGTTAAAATACAAAAATAACAATATTCTACATGGAATTAAGAAGGTTTGCAAAAGTAAATCAGTTCAGCTAATACTAACAAAGGTCAAAAGCTACTCAGGTGATATATATAATGACTTTGTAGACTCACTTGCAAAGGAAGGAATAAATAAAGCAAACTGTATGGAGCTGAACAATATCAGCAACGGTAACGTAAAATTTATCTCTGAATAGAAGGAGCTTAGTTTGGAAACCCCACTAAGAGCTTTTGTTAAAAAGACAGTTCAAACAACATACAAGACAGAATGGACTTAGCTAAAAAAGAAAAACGATATAGAACACCAAACAAGAATCTAGAAACAGAATTGGAAAGCTTTAAAGAGTATACTTAAAAGCTACTACAAACAATACCAAAACACTGAAATAAACTACTTGCGTTTATTCAAAATCAAATATATCGAAAACCTCCTACCAACAGTAGAAACGCTAAACCTTAGGAAGCTGAAATTGTATAAAGATAGTCTTTGCAAAAGATGTTTAAAAGAAAGAGAATTGATTAAGCACTTAGTCACTTGCGAGAAAGCCTATTAAGTACTTAAAAAAATCGAAGATGAAGCATAGAAATAGCTTGACGAAGATAAAAGAAAAGAAGAAAATTGAGATTTAAGGAGCATAGCTCAAAGGTCCAGTGATCTTAATGTAGTGGTTAGGTTGTCGGACCACCATATAAGAGGTCTGGAGTTCAAATTCTACTGTCAATGAATTTGAATAATTACTCAGATCTTTGTATCCAACTTACAGTAAACCTTGTCCATTTCTAGAGTTATAACCCTGTAAATCATGTTGTACTAATATCAATTGGGTATTAGAAGTGTAATGGAAAAGTCAGGTCTGATTAGAGGTTAGAACCAGTTTTATTTTCATAAACTGGGTTTAATAACTTTTCAAAAATCAAAACCGAATATAAATCGGGTATATTATCTCCGGTTAGATTCGATTAATCAGTTATATTAATCCGGTTATATTCGATTAATTGGTTATATCAATCCAGTTATATTCGATTAATCAGTTATATTAATTCGGTTATATTCGATTAATCAGTTATATTAATCTGGTTATATTCGATTAATCAGTTATATTAATCCGGTTATATTCGATTAATCAGTTATATTAATTCAGTTATATTCGATTAATCGATTATCTGATTAATCGGTTATAATAAACATTATGTATCCCCTTTTTAATAGATCCTGACAAGCTTGTCAATGACATTATTATTGTATGATTTATAGATGTATTCTTTTATAGGTTTGATATTGATACCTTAAGTACTTTAAGGGTAATTCCAGAATAATATATGAAAGTTTTGAATTGAGCTATCTACGACAATGAAATAGTAAAGATAATTACAAGCTAACGATATAATTATTGTATTGCATGTGAAAAGAAGAATGGAATTAGCTAAGTGATTATTTAAGGCTGATAAAATGTTCAGGCAAGAGTAATTAATAGTCACGCATAATAGTTTTAAAGCAGAGTGAAAATGTCACAAAATTAAGTGAATATATGTCAAGAAGTCAGTTGAGCATCTTATAAGATTGGGTTTACACGAATTTGGACTAACTTATAGTCTCTTTTAATATAAAAAGACCAGTACTAGAGTTAATTATTGAGAAAGCAGATTATAATCGCTAAGGATTTATTAGTGCCCTTAACTTGATAACTACGAATATTTCTATGAAAAATGCTTGTTGTATCATACACATTAATTAGTTTTCTTATCAGTTCTGCAGTTCATAAAACGATTTTGGCTTTATGTTCTTCAGTAACAACCAGTGAAAATGATTTTCTTGTTTCATTGACAATGATTTTTAAATTTAGTTGAACAAATTTAAAATCAGTTGATCTCTCTTATAGTGATGCAATAGAATCATTCCAATAAATTTTTGAAATACAACCAGCTACCTGTTGAACGATGAAAGTTCTACATGCAAGCAAGAAATAAGGGATCAGGTTATTGAAACGAAGGGTTATGGTAAAGGAAATGACTGCACATAATTGACCAATGATTTGATTAATGATCAAATGTAATATAGCAGGATCAGGAATAACGTAAAAAAACTTGCTCCAAAATTTACATAACAAACCAACCTTTGCGCTCTAACAAAATTCTTCCTTGTGAAATTTTGCCTTATAATATCAACTCTTTCATAATAATTCTAATCGTAAATTTAATGAACAATGAGAAATGCATTGATTATCATGTGTACGGATAAATCCTGATCATAGGGTAAATGTAGGTGATCGGGATTGAGATCAGGTACATAATATGACGTAATAATTAAAATATAAGAAAGTATATGAGTAAATTAAGGGGAATGACGTAAATAATTTGTTATTGATTGTAATAAAAAGCAAGGAAATAAATAAAGAAAATTGGTCTTTGCTTGAATTGATCAATAAATAACACACATACGCCTAGTAATAAAAATAACAAAGGTCTTGTGAAATATTCTACGACAGGCAGTACCGAGTTGGATTTTGGTGGTAGCCCACTACTGCTTTACCCCCACGACAGATCTCTTTATGTATATTAATAATTATGCACTTTTATCAGTTATATAACTTTAATTAAATTTAATAGCGTAATTTTTAATATATCCTATTGAACATAAAAGTAATTTAATTAAACAAATTATTATATGATCACAATAATACAGTACTATATGCGTGATCTAAGATATTATATTAAGTTATACTTAGTTACATTATGACTTATCCTAATGCTTTGAGATTTTACTACATCGCTACTCTTTAATACTTTACTATTTATTATCAAAATTATGGCATCATTTTATCAGAACATGTCAGGATCAACTTATTTAAAATTTAAGATATTTAAATTGAAAAAAGACTAATTTTAAAAAAAAATTTAAAATCGAAAAAATTTGAAATTAAAAAATTTAAAATTTAAAAGCGAAAAAAATTTGAAATTAAAAAATTTAAAATTTAAAATCGAAATTAAAAAGTTAAATTTTTTTTAAAAAAAAATTTAAATTTAAAATTCTTAAAAGGAGCTACAAGTTTCATATGCATTATAAAATGAATTAACTTTTTTAATTTTTTAGTAACTTCTATTTACCTTAATTAGGTTCATGTTCAGAATTTTAAATTTTAAAAAAGTCAACAAAAATAGACTACACATGCCAATAATTTCGTAAACAAGCTAACAGTTATTAAAAAACTGTTATTCTTGTGGCAGAAACATATCAAAGTGAGCTCTATTACATTTTAAAAATAGAATCTTATTCACTAAATCTGGAGACAGGTGGGTTCGTTTTGTTGAAATATGATTGCCAGCATCAGAGAATAATCGTTCACTTGAAACTGATGTTGCTGGGATAAAAAGATATTTATGTGCTAATTGAGCCAAGACAGGCAAGCTACTTTTATTTTTTAGCCACCATTCTAAAGGATCATCATTAACTTTGATTTCTTTCAACTTAATATAGTTCTTTACTTCGTCATCATCTTCTGTTTCGGCTTGTATAGAACTCACTTCCAACTCACGAAAAAAGTCATCATCATCATTATCATGATTTTTATCCACCAAATTCTCTTCATTGTCATCCGGAATAGCAAGGTTTATTTTTAATTCATCATATAGAGTCTTCACCAAATTCTGTACTCTGTTTTGCTCAACGCTTGTCGCCCAATTGAAATGTTTGAACCTTGGATCGAGGAATGTGACAACTAAAGCAATATCCGTCGGAACTTCCCATAATTCATCTAATGACAGATAAATAGCAGCTCGAACTCTAATAAGCAAACCATTAGTAAGAACAGAGAGCAAATATTCTATTCGGTCAATATCTTCTAACTCAGCATTATTAGATCATCTTCGTGTTCTTGTATTCTGAATAATCTGATTAATTAGCTCTGCTTCCTAGCTGCTTTTTACTTCAATTCACTCTAGATTCTTGACTTTCTTAACTTCCTCTGCTTTACTTTTTTGGATCTCTTTTCTTATTCTTCCTAGATACTTCCTATTGAATACTACTTCTGATATATTCTTTTTCTTTCATACGAAGCTTGAGATATTGTGAATTTTTTTTAAAGCTACTCTTTGTTTTTGGCTATTTTTCCTTAATTTACTTCCTTCTCTGTATACTTCTTGTTAACTGCATCCTTCTTGCAAGTTTTCTTAGTCTTCTTCCCAAATCTCAACTTACAAGCTTTTTTTTCTTTCCAGTAATATACCAATTTCACTTTCTTTATCTTCTTTACCTTTTATAAGCACTCATTCTTTTTTCCTTTTGTTAGCTGAGATTTTCTCTTCGGTTTTTTGTACTTGAAATCCCTTTTTCTTTTGATATTCTTCCTTTACTTTTCTTGATTTTTTGTCTTCTAAGATTTCATTCTCTAAGGCTTAGAACCACTTTGCTTTTTTTACAATATGTCTCTTTCCTTCTCTTACTTTGAGCTGTCTCCAAGTAATCATTCTTACTTGTTCATTATCTAGTAGTTGATTTATGTATCATAAATTAAGCTTGCTTATATTTTCTTGTGCTTCTTTTATGTTGCATTTATTAAGGATATTGCTAATAAGACAGTTTTTTCTCTCTTGAAGGTTTATAATGTTTTAGCTTACTGTAAAGTTGTTTTTTGTGATACTTAGCCATATTTTTTTCCATGCTGTATTATTGTAGCTCTAAGGTTTCTGTATTTAGTCTTTTTCCAATTCATATTTTCTGTTATAAGTATACATTCTGGCATATTCATATCTAGTTGTGACTGCTTTAATCTCATTAACGTAGTTATGCCTAAAATGCTGTTTGTATCTATTCTTACAAAGAGCTCTAATATATGGTGCTCTATATGTTTTACTATAGATTTACTATACCAAATATATCTCTATGCCAAAGAGTTGCATTCGTGTATGTAGATAGGAGCTCCAATTTCCATTTGATTAGTCTGAGCATAGGCTAGTATATAGCATTATATGATTTTTTCCTTAAGCAGATATTTGCAAGTAGATATTCGAGCTTTGGTAGTAATACTATATTGTTTATATATATTATTTGACTTGCTGGGAGTTTTTTGTATTTTAGTATACAAATTAGTTTTCCTACTTCTTTTTTGCAATGTAGGATACTTGTTCTCTCTTGTTTTTTTAAGCTTATTCAGACACCTAGAAACCTTGTACTTTCTTCTGATTCCTTGATTTTCACTTAGCTTAGAGGTATTCCGATTTGTATGAATTTCTCTTCTTTTTCTTGCTTGTGAGATCTCCAAGCAATTGCTTCAGACTTTGCTCTATTTATCACAATGTCATTTAGCGTAAAAAAGTTATTTGATACTTGTATGATTTCTTGCAGTACTTGTCTAGACTCTGCTACCCAAGTAGTATCGTCTGCATATACTAGTGTTGAATCATAGCTTTTTCAGTTTTGTATATTCAGTTTTCAACATCTACTAGCTACTAGAACTCTATTTGGTACCTAATTCCTAATTGCTGTATCCTTACTAGCAATGAGTCGTAGAATATTTTCTACATTAGTGGGAAAATTACTTCACCTTGATCTATTCTATCTCCAGTTACGAAGAAATCTGTAGGGCTTTCATCTGTTATCACTCTTATTTCATAATCTTGATATAATTGCTTAATAAACATGATTAGATTTTCTAGAAATTTGATTCTTCTCATAGAAAGCTCTAGAGCATAGATGCTAACTGAGTCAAAAGCTTTCCATATATCTTGAAAAGCTATTCAAAGCTCTTTTTCTTTTTGAATTGCATTCTCAATAACGTTATTTAAAATATGTATAGGTGTCATAGTACTTTCATTAGGTAGTTCTGCAAAGTTAGCCCTTTTTAGAATTTGCTTTTCAACAAAGACCTTGTTTAGCCTTTTTTTGGACTATTCTGACTACAAGTTTTTTGAATGTCTCAAGTAATATTATCAGTCTGGTGCTAGTCAAGTTAAATTCCTAATCTGTACTTTTAGAAATTAGGTATATTTGCCCTAGTTTCCATTTCTTAGGGAATCTTTCTTCTTAGACTACTTTGTTTGCAAATTTTACCAAATGTTCTTTTGTTTTGGAGCTTACTTTTTTTATAAGCCTGTAGCCAATACCTAAGATACTGAGTACTGTATCTTCTTTTAGCATACTTATGGCTTCTGACTATTCCTCTTCTGTTATTTTGCACATAACTCCTACGTACCAAGCTTCTTTGATTCTTTTTTTTCTTCATATATATTGGCCCATTCTTGATCTATTTGCTCGAATTTGTGATTACATTTTCTGAATTGTTTCTTAAAATGCTTTTTTACTTCTTTTCTGATATCATTACTCTCCGTAACTAACATTTTGTTTTCAAACTTATTTTGGCTTTAGACTAACACTCTATCAACTATGATCTTGTTGTGAGGACGTTTGAGCAACTTGTTTAACATTTGCTTTTGGCTTTTAGGCATTAGTGCAAATCTTTCTTCTATTTTTTCTTTTATTTCTTTTTCTTTTGCAGCATGTATTTCCTTCCGAGCTTTTTCTTTTAATACATTCTACTATTCTTTAATTTTAATACAGTATTCTTTGTTCCAGAATTCTGGTAAGAGTGGGATATTTGTCTTGTATTCTGTGTTGAAATGATCTATTCGTGCATTTAGAATTGCCTTTTCAAGCTCATCTAAACTTTGTTCTATATCCTTAGACCCTTTTCTGAATATCCTTCCTAAGACTTTAGCTCTGCTATATGTTAGTGATTTCATAGCTTCTTTCCTGATTTGACTTTTTGAGTTTTGTGTTTTTGTTGAAGGAATATACTTGTTTGCTACTGCTTGTATTGGCTTAGCTATTAACTCCCATTCTTCATCAATATCTGTTTCAAACTCTATTTCTTCTTGGTTTTCTTCTCTTCTTTTTTTCCTCTTCTCTGCATTGTGAATAATTTTTTCTACTTTTTGGCTATAACTATTCCAATCTTCTTCCGTAGCCTTGTGGTACTAGTATAGTCTTCTTGTTTCTTTTTGTCCTCTTTTGCTTTTCTGCTTGTTCTTTTCTAAGATACTTGCACTATCTAATTGTACCCAGACCATTCCATGATCACTATCTGTTACTGTTTCCATTTGCTCTATATTGCTATCTAAGATGATGTTTCTCATATCCTGCGTTGTCCAAATATGATCTATTCTAGTTGATACATTACTATTTGACCATAAATATTTGATTAGCTCTGGGTTGTAAAAGTTAAAGGTTTCTATGTAGTCAGTATTTTTTAACCATTTCATAATTCTTGTACCAGTATCTGAATTTCTCTTTCCTTTGCTACTCATAACTAGTCTTTCATTTAATACCGTATTAAAGTCTCTTAAGATCGTATATATTATGTTTTTCTTATTCTTGATAATTTTTTCTATAAGTATCTTGTGCACTTTTTTCATCACTTCTTCGTTTTTAGGAGGTAAGTATACTATTCAAACTTGAAAGACTACTCTTCTGAAGTAAAATTCAGCTTTAAGCAGGTATGGGCTGAACTTTTTGCAAACTTCCATATTTCTTAACCAATTTTGGTCCACTAGTAGCCCAATTCCTGACCCTTTATGTTTTCCTTTTTCTGTTTCTGACCAAAAGATTAAGTAACTGTATTCTTTTATATTTATCTATTTGCCTTCTTGTTTACCTATATTGGTTTCTACTATTCCAATTATGTTGTATCCTTCTGACTTACCATACTCTGCTAATAGTTTTACCTTTGTATTATCACCTTTAATTCTGTTAATATTGTGTGTATCTATTTTTATACTTACTGTTTTTCCTCTGCTATCTCTGTTATCATCAAATACACTTTTGCTTTCCTCTCTTCTCTCTGTATTTTTTATGTGTTTTGACTTGTTTTGGTTTGAAGTTGTCTCTGCTCTAAGTTGTCTTTTAAGTTTTCCTTTTTGATTGACTAGAGCTTTTGTTTGTCAACTTTGGCAACTTTCAGAAGCGATTTAGAGCCTCCAGGCTCCAATTATCTTCAAAGCTACTTAGTTTTCTCTCCAAAGCCTGAATGCATTGAGCCATATCATTGAAAGATTCTTTATACAAGTTTCTTTTGTGACATTCTCCTCTTCTATTCTCTGTATGAGTTTCATCTCACTTTTCTGTCTTCTTAAATACTTGGTTTTCTAGTTTGTTTTCCCTCTCTAAGGTTTTCTTTTCGGTTTTGTAAGGTAGGGTTTGCTTGTTAAAGGATATTTCATGTCTTTTAGAGCTTCTTGCACTTGGTTCATTGTTATGAGGTTCTTGTTTATATCTTTCCTTATTAATATACTCTTATATTAATTCTGCTTCAAGCATCTCCCAAAAAAGCCTAGTATCATAATATTTAACAGAATACTTTTGTGCTTGAACTATTTCTCTTTGATTTCTAAAAGATACTAGTACATAGTCTTTGTTATTTCTGTTCGAGTTATTGAAAACATGTACTGTACTCGCACTAGTATGTTTAGTTGCCTGAATAGTAATATCTCATTTATATTTTGTAGTATATTATATAACCTTGTAATGAACTGTTTTCTATTCTCAAGTATCTCTTTTCTGCTTAATACTGGGGTTATACGTACTAAGAGCTCATTTGTAAGAGGAATAACCCAAGCTTCAATCCCTTGTACAAAGCTACTTTCTTTTTCAAAAGATACTTCTGCTCTTATTTTTCTGTATTTTTCTCTTATCATTTCAATGTTTTTGACATGACCCAAGTGTTTAATGCAAAGAAGACTTGTGATCTTGTTATATGATAGAGTATGTCCCATATAGTGATAGTCTCTTCTTTGCTTGGGTATAGTTCTCTTTCCTTAGTTATATTATTTGTTCTACTAGGAACTTCATTGCT